TGAATCCAGGCCAAGTATAATGAACCAGCATTCCCGATTTTGTCGATGATCTTTCAACCCCTCGATGAAATGTATTTTCGAGCCACATGCTGTTTTAATATGCGCCTTCACGGTTTGCGAATAAACAACGTATAAATAATTTATAATTGGTTCGTTTGGACTGCAAGGAAAACGGCCAAAGCTTAATTGATACACAGGGTGCTCCATTTGAAACTTACTTAATAAACCCTGTTTGTTTTCTTCAATCGTTCGCTATAATACAATGACCTTCGGATGACCTTGGCCTTCAAAATATTTAAATCAGCGTGAAACCGATTCTAAATGAAATGTCAAATGTCAGAAACGATTGTAACATCAATGTTTCTGACGAGACACCCGATGTATTATGCATGGAGTCCCGAAATTGTTACTTCCGGAAAATGAGGTGTTCCTGAGGTCATTTGAAGGAACTTTTTCCTTTACAAAAATTTTCTCCGTGGCGTCGTTAACGAGTTATTAGCGAAAAACGTTGACCAATGACAGGCGAGCTCGGCTGACGCGAGACGGCCGAGCCAATTAGCGGAACTGGGCTTCGTGTTCTCGTTGGCTCGGCCGCCTCGCGTCAGGCGAGCGCGCTTCTCATTGGTTAGTGTTTTTCGTGAATAACTCGTAAACGAAGCCACGGAGAAAATTTTTGTAAAGGAAAAAGTTACTTCAAATGATCTCAGGTATCTCTCATTTCCCGGAAGCAACGTAATTTTGGGACTATATATAATTATGGTACAGAATAATGACAGAATAATGAAAAAGTAGGTGGAATAATAAAGTAATAAAAATAGATTGATAGTAGAGAATTATTCTAGGCTGGTAGTTTTTATTGAGACACCCTGTACATTGGATGTAGACGAACATTTCTTTGCAGCTTTATCATCAATTGAATAGTGTTACTTATCAGTGCACTGGCAAGAACGTGTAAATCGCGAGTCAACGATGTTTACGAGCAATCGGAAATGCATGATTTTGTGAAAACACTCGGTACAACGAGAGCAACAATAACACAATAGAAACGCAAACACTTCCGCGGATTGAAAATCCGTCGACCGAATACAAGCTGCCCGAGGATGTCGAACAGGTTTATTGATCGACGATCAACAATCGCAGCCATTAATGTTAGATTCTGGCTGATGCAGGCCTCGAGGAGCACGTGAATACCGAAGTAGCCTAATTATAGCCCCGGAGGTTATGTTTCCATTCTACGAAACAGTTAAATGTGTTTATTCGCTAAAATTGTTTATTAGTTTGAACGTCTAATAACCCAAGCAGTTTTACCGGTCCTTAAGACCGCGCTGTAAATTTAAATTTCCAACGCGTTTTTCCAAAATCCGTGAAGGCGGTCCAAATTTCTGAAAAAGCCAAAAATAAAAATTTCATTTGCGATCATCGTCGACTCGCCTTTATTATTGTAGCATCGATCGACAGCTGAGATTTTTTCCGACTAAAATGAGTCCGAACACGGTGCAAATCCGATTAATTTAAGCTGCTCACGGATTAATTGAAAAGCAATCTACCGGGTGAGTCAGGAAACTTGCACACCACGGATAATTTTTAAATTATGCGTTCCACATTTTTCTACGAGAAATTGTTAAGTACACGGTATCCATTAAGAACAGAGGTTTCCAAGATCGAACAATTCCAAGTCACACGACTCACCCGGTATAATAATAATCGATAAACGTAGTCAGATTCCCAACGTGTTTGGACTCATTTCGATCAGAAGAATCTTATCTATCGATCGGTGTGACGATTATCAAATTTTCCTTCAAGTAGAACTATGTACGTTTAATCACACTGTGCGACAGTTAATGACGAGTTCGGTTTAAGGACTTAGGACACGGTGACCTTGAAATGACCTCGAATTTAATCGAGATGCAAGTTCGTTGCGAACACGTAGTTATTAATGTGAATACAAAGTTTTCCATCTGCAATTTTTACCGCAATTTCAATCCGATTCTTTTTCATAAATAATCTTTTTATTGCGAAATATATTAATTGGCAGAATAATTTGCACGTAATTCGAGTCAACGTGGAAAATGCTATCAGAATCGATCCATTCACAATCTTATCTGGAAAATAACTGGTAGGTTGATTTTCGCCCGAATGCCCTCCCTTAAGAAGCTCCCCGACACGTGATCGAAGACTGGCGAACACTTTCCATCGATCCACCGGCGCGCCGACAATAACGAGCGCGGACAGAGCTCGTGCACAGGGGTCTAAACAACGGCCAGCATAAACTGAACCGTGCTTACAGCGGCCAACAAAAAACCGTATCGAATGACGGCGCACAGCCCCGCGGCACGATCCTGATTTCACTTTTTTTCGTCACCCGTTTTTCCGGAACCGGCAGGAGTCTCCTTTTATTAACGAGCCATCTTTTTGCCGACCCCGGCACGCAAAAACACTAAACACCGCAATGTGAACGACCCCGTAACCGTGAAGCTACAAAAACCGAGGACAACGGCGACGTTTACTGCATTCGGTTCTTAATCGGTCGGGAGCAACGGCGAAAACAAGAGTTACGAGTCTCTCGTCCCGGAGAATCGCCGACGCAGCACGCACCGTCGTTATACTGAGAATAATTTTCTTTTATAAAGTAAAAATAAAAAGTAAAAATTTGAAAATAACGGTCAATATATATTATATATTTATATAATATTTATTTATATAACATATATATATATATAACATAATAACATTATAAATATATATATACATTATAATATTATTATGTTACATATATGTTATATAAATAAATATTATAGAAATATATAATATATATAATGTCGTTTCTCGAATTTACTGAATGATATATATATAATAAGAAATTCGAGAAACCGAGAAATTGATATAATTTCTTATTATATATGTATATATATATAAAAGAATATATAATAAGAAATTATATTTTCTGTAAGTGTCCTTTTCTGCAAGTGTTTGGGAGGGTAGTGTACACGTGTAAAAAAAGTTGAAAAGAAAATATATCAAACGGGAGCTATTATAAGTTCACCGAGTAGATAGCATGTACTTCCAAGGAGCTTCGAAGATTAATCGATTTCGCCGCCTCGAATCTGTTGCAGTGTTTTCCTGCATCGATTCTCAATGTATGCATTATTCACGGCTCCGTCCGATATTAAAATGAGACGAGATGAAAGATCGCCGCACAATAGAACGTCAAATTTTACGCGGCCATTGTCTAGCGGCTCGCTATTGCGCAATTTGAAGTCAGAGCAGTTGAACAATTTGATTGACCGGGCAACAACACGAGAAGTTCCATGGAAAAGTTTGCATACATAATTATAATTCATTTAATGAAATTTATTCAATGAAATTTGTTTGGTGAAATACATGTTGTGAATTTTGGCGAAGGGTAATTTATAATTTAATAGGAGTTTAAACGGAAATTTAAAATTCTGATGGCTTTTTAATAGACATTTAAATTAGATCGTTTCAAATTAAAAATTTAAATTGCAGTAATTCTTTGATGGACATTCGAATTGTAGTGAAGTTTTGATAAAAACTTAAATTAATTGATTTTAAATAGCGGTAGAATCAATTCTAATAAATCTTCAATATTACATTTAATTACAACGAATTTTTCTTACAAACTCAAATTTCCATAGATTTTTAATGGAAACGGGAATTATAATAGATTTGTATAGGAATGTGACTAGAAACTTTAAATTACAATAGACTCTTACAAGAATTTATATAACAATCGAAATTGTAATAGATTTACTAAATATAAATTGTAACAAATTTAATAAATACAAATTGTAATAGATTTAATAAATATAAATTGTAACAAATTTGATAAATACAAATTGTACTAGATCTTATAAATTTAAATTCTGATGAATTTCGTAAATATAAATTCCGACAGATTCGATGAATCTAAATTTTAATCAATACAAATTGTAGCAGATTTGATAAATACAAGTTGTAATAGATTGAATAAATACAAATTGTAATAGATTCAATGAATAG